TTTTGTATTTTTAGTAGAGACGGGGTTTCACCATGTTGATCAGGATGGTCTCGATCTCTTGACCTCGTGATCCACCCGCCTCGGCCTCCCAAAGTGCTGGGATTACAGGCTTGAGCCACTGCACCCGGCAAGAAATTTTTTTAAAGAGTGAAATACATCCCAAGTAAGAACGTTACTTACTTTTACCAATATGTCTTTTACAACTTGATTGCTATCATTATGAACGCTGATATAACTGGAAAAGGTCTCTCCTAAAAATATATTCCTGTAAAATAAAATAAGTATTTAGGAAGAAATCCATTTAGGTTTCACAATAAATATTCTGTTTGAGAATCGCTAAGAACTTCAAATGGAGAAAAATTTACTAAAGAATAGAGATCTGGTAAAATATTGTTTCCACATTCCTTTGTTCACATTAGGTCACTCATTCATTACCTAGCGCAATTCAAAATATGAATGTAATCTACAAAATATGATGTATCTTGGCCTTTGATTACTGTACAAAATGCCAATCTCGATAGAGATAAGACTCACTGAATCACATCTATGCTAAAGTCTTAAGATTTGTATCTGAACAGTTTAGAAAAAGCCAAGTTTCCATTCTTGAAATAATTTATGCCCTGAGTCTAGAAGAGATCTCCTAAGTTACTGATATTGGGGTATTGTTACCAATTTATTTCCTAAGTTATTTGAATAAAAATCAGCAGTGGCTTTATTTTACATAGTTTTATACTTTTTACATGAACATATTTCACAGTTTTTCAAGACGCTAGTCAATGAGCACATTCTGTAAAACTATAAAAACAATCTGTAAAATTCCTTTTTTGTCTCAAATTCTGTGAGTTGCAAACAGAGTGGAACCAGGGGCTTTTACCTTATTAATCTAGAACAACAATAAAGCTAAGAATAACAGAAGAAATAAATTTAGAGTTCCTAATTAACTGAGAAGTCTGATAACTCATCTTGGGAGAGGACTATGAGGCCAAAAAAAAAAAAAAAAAGCTGCTTCTGAAAAAGACATTTCGATTAGTAGTTAAAAGAATTATGTAGCCATTCTTTTATCCTAGGAATTCTATTACCCTAGGAATAGAATAGAATTTTGTACAATTCTATTACCCTAGGAATCACTATTAACATTTTATTTTGGTATATATCTTTTTTTTATATATAGGAGAAAGCTATAATCACATAGTATGTTTTTTAATAATATTTTTGCCACTCAAATGTATCATGGGCTGGGTGCGTTGGCTCATGCCTATAATCCCAGCACTTTAGGAGGCAGAGGCGGGTGGATCACCAGAGGTCAGGAGTTCAAGATCAGCCTGGCTAACATGGTGAAACATGGTCTCTATTAAAAACACAAAATTAGTCAGGGCGGTGGCGTGTGCCTGTATCCCAACTACTCAGGAGGCTGAGGCAGGAGAACTGCTTGAACCCAGGAGGTGGAGGTTGCACTGAGCTGAGATAGTACCACTGCACTCCAGCCTGGTAACAGAGCAAGACCCCATTTCAAAAAAAAAAAAAAAAAAAAAAAAAAAAAAAAAAAAAAAAAAAAAAAAAAAAAAAAAAAAAAAGCAAATGTATCATAAAGTGTTTTCCCATCCCATAGCTCTTTTTGAAAACATAATTTATAATAGCTTTACAAGGTTTCTTATGTGAATATGTCATGCCTACCCAAAATTTTGTGGTAAAGTCAGCATTTCTCCCAACATTAAAACTTCTGCACCATTAACAGTTGAAGGATCATCTCTCATCAGCTGGTTAAAGAGATCACCTGAATGAAGAGAAAAACATAAAATTCCGACATCTACCTTTTAAATAACTTTTACTTATATAAAGAAATAGCCGAGAGAGACATTTTAAAAAACAACCTCTTGACAAAAATGAGATTTAAAAAGTCTAACTTCTAGATTTTAATACAACAAAAGCATGTCAAAAAATTCTGATCTCACAGGGAATGAACACTTTAGAAACAACGAAAAATGTACAAAATATACCATAGAAAGCCCCAATAATTCTAAATAAAAGGAATGCTAATACATATATTGATGCAACATTTGAGGATGAAGGCAATTTTAATAGCATTATGAATATGAATGTATCTTAAACTGTAAGTCTCATATTGCCATAGTATATAAACATAATGAGGACTTGCAGAGTACAAATAAGGCCTGTTACTCAGATGGCCACCTTTCACATGATACAAAAATAGGCAACAAAGAATCTAGCAAATGGTTAGTATAAAATTTACAAGGCTAGGCTTAGTCCAAGGTAACGCACCAATTCAGGTGTCAACTTTTTCCTAGGTATAGATAGAGGAAAGCATGTGCCATACCAGGTAAGTCTTTCTCTTCACAAGTTACTGGGATATTGGTGAATAAAGTAGGCTTAGTCAGCCGCATCACTGTGAAGTAAAAAAGTAAAACAAAACAAAACATTAATAATGCTTAGGGTTAATATTCTCAAGTCTAGTGTATGATATTCATCCATTTTATACTACCATAAAATATAATCTAAATACTTCCTGAATATAATACTATATACTTCCTAAGGTTATCACGCATCAGTGATTTATTAAAAATTTTAATGTTATAAAATAATTTTATACAAGAACCACTATTTACAACCTATGAATTATAAGAATTAAATGTAACTATAATATACATTCATTATAGAGAAAGGAAATTATTTTTAAAGCTTAAATAATATTAGGAACATAAGGCTTTAAAAAATTCCAAGTGACTTCACTGTAAACAGTATCAACAAAATATGAACACTCGAAACTCAGTAAGTGTTTTTTGTTTTTTTTTGAGACAGAGCCTTACTCTGTCACCAGGCTGGAGTGTAGTGGCCCGATCTCGGCTCACTGCTACCTTTGCCTCCCAGGTTCAAGAGATTCTCCTGCCTCAGGCTCCCAAATAGTTGGGATTACAGGAACGCACCACCATGCCTGATTTTTTTTTTTGTATTTTTAGTAGAGATGGGGTGTCACTATGTTGGCCAGGCTAGTCTCGAACTCCTGACCTCAAGTGATCTACCCACCTTGGCTTCCCAAAGTGCTGGTATTATAGGCATGAGTCACCACACCTGGCCAATTCTTTAAGTAATATTAATTCTGTGTGGAAATTATAAAAATGTAGGTTAACATATAGGTTTACATAATTCCAACCAAAACTAAGATTTATTTTTGGAACATGACAGAATGTATCTAAAGTTCACCTAGATAAACAAATAAATGAAAATAAGCTAAGGAAATTAATGGAGAAAAAAGAGGAAGACTTAAATTTACTACATATTATAACATATTTAAGTCCGTAGTCAACTAATTGGCTTATTAGTATAAGACCATACTGATATATTAGTTTTCCAAAACAAGATAGGACATAGTTAAAAAAAATTATTAGTAAAAGGATTATTCATTATAAGGTGCAAAGACAAATGGTTTGCTACCTGGAAAAATAAAATTTAATTTAAAAATTCAAAAAAAGCCACAGACAAGTAGAAAAAGTGAAATTATTTATTAAATGTAGTCTAATGAGGGTGGAATGCTCTACAGTTTAAAAAAAAAAAATCTTTTTCAGTTACTTTGAAAGACTGTCATCTGACCACATCAAAATTTAAAAAAACATAAAAAAAACTATAAAAACTTGTAAAACTTTTCAGAAAATAAATCACAGAGGGCTAGTTCATTATCAAAAGTATTCATTCAAATCAAAGCCAAAACACTAGAAAGACTATAGACCTACATGTTCAATTCAGAATATAAGTAGTATTCACTAGCATATATAAAAATGTACTACCCAACTACTAATTCACCAACTATGGTGTTTATATCAAATTTAGTGCCTTTTTCATTCTGGTTTCAGCTTAAATGTCATCTTTTTCAGAAAGAAAGTAACAGGTCATTCTGTTTCTCTCATGGTACTTTGTATTTATCATGCACTATATTTGTTTATAGCACTCCTTTCCAAACTCCATGAGGTCTAGGCTCTTATGTACTAAGTTCAGTTTTGTAGCATCCTTATCTGGTGTAGGTTTTGCTATTCAGATCTTTCCTGAATAAAATAATTAGCACTTTATGAAAGTCCCTAAGTAACTGGCATCATTTTGAAAGTGTAAGTTTTAGAAACTGAGGGCGATAACAACCTTGCTACATCAAGCAGCTGGCTTTTGAAATAGTCAACAAATGCTACCCTTAAAATTTCAGAAGTTACTTTGTATGGCTAACATTTACTAGTACCAGGTATTATGCTAAATATTTTACAAGACGAACACATTTAATTCTCATGAGTACTCTCTTAAGTTGGTACTACGTTAACCCCAATATACAGATAGGGCACTGACAATGCCTGCAGAAGGCAAATTGCATACGAAAGGATTATATTAGTAGATAAGTAGGAGAATCTAGATCTGAACCCCGGTGATTTCACTGTTCAAAAACAATTCTCTACAGTAATTATTAATTATAAGCCTGGAGCCATATGCCTGGACTGTCATGCCTTACCAGAAATATTCAAAGTAGGACCCTATTCCAGAGTATTAACCAATAATCTGGAATAGAGTCCTACTACAGATAAATATGGGGAGGTGTTTTCAACCTTCACTTTCATTTTTAACTATGAAAACAGATTAAAAGGTGCCCTGCAATTGATACAGAAGAGGCAGTTTCTCCCAATTTAAACATCTAAAATCACTTAAAAAATTTTTGAGACACGGTCTCACTTTGTTACTCAGGTTGGAGTAGGATCATGACTGACTGCAGCTTTCACACCCTGAGCTCAAGTGATCCTCCTGCCTCAGACCCACCACTTATCCCTGCCCACCAAGAGGCTGGGAATACTGTCCCATGCTACAGTGCCTGGTTAATTTTTGTGGTTTTTGTAGAGATGGGGTTTTACCATGTTGCCTAGGCTGGTAAGTTCACTGTTAGTACCAGCTGGTGTTTTCTATTTCTTTCCCATTATTTTTTTCATTTCATTAGAAAACAAATCTCAATAAAGAGAAAATAGAGTCTCAAGGGAATCCTAAGACACTCTTTTTTTTTTTTTTTTTAGTGTCCTTGAGTTCACCCAAACGTTTAGCCAACATTTTTGCTTATCATAGGTTCAAATTTCCATTACAAGCAAAAGTCCTGTAAAGCTTAATTTTTCATGATTCCTGTGGTTTAACAGGGGATGAGATGGGGGGAGGGGGTAAAAAACAATCCTTCATTAAAAATAAAACGATCCCAATTTAGTATGAAAAGCAACTGTTTTCTTCATAATTTCAGATTATGGCCTTTGCAGCAACATGAATGGAACTGGAGGCCTTTATCCTAAGCCAATTTACGCAGGAACAGAAAATCAAATACCACATATTCTCACTTATAAGTGGAAGATAAACAATAAGCATATATGGGCACAAAGAAGAGTAACAATAGACACTGAGACCTATTTGAGGGTGGAAGGTGGCAGGGGGGTGAGGACTAAAAAAAAATACCTAGTGGTTATTATGCTTATTACCTGGGTAACAAAACTATTTGTACACCAAACCCCTGTGGCACACAATTTAACCTCTGTAAATTTTTCTTTCCAACTTTCATTTTAGGTACATATGACAAATCTGTACCTAAAATAAAAGTTGGAAAGAAAAAAAAAAGTGGACTTTTAAACAACCTCAGCCATCTCAGGCTATGAAGGGCACATTTACCATGCATTGTCAAGCTCCTACCATGATAGGCACTGTGCTTCAAGGTAATATTGTCTATATACCTAGTAAGTGCTGTCTTATTTTTCTTAGGGAGCTGGTGTGTTTAATAGTAGTAATGACATGTAAGCTGCAAGAGGGCAGGGTCCATGTCTGTCTCCTTCCTTAGTATATCCTAACACCTAGTGCAAGGTAGGCATTTAAATATGTTAAACAAATACAAGCTTATATGCTTATATAACGCTTTTATTGTTTTAATCCCTTTGAGTATTTTTATGAGGTGATATGTAAATCCAATTATAAGATTATGCTTATGGGGAATCTAAAATGACTTCAATAATCAGTCAAGTAATAATTAGCACTATCATTAATATTGAATTATCTGTATCAGAAGAAATAGACAATAACTTGACCCCTATTCAACATTTGATGCTTTCCTTCAAAACACATTATAGCCTTAAAGATACCTTACAGTATTAGGTGAAGTATACATTTTGTATCTTTGTTTGAAAACAACCCATCAATTGCTATTACATATCTTTGGAAACATTATTATGAATCTAGGCTGGTCTCCCGATCTGAACTACATTCATGTCACATAAATAGCATTTCAAAGAGAATTGTTTTTAATTTTTTTTTAATTACATTTGAGGTGAGTAAAGAAAAATACAGTAAAATTAGATTTTAGAGATTCACCAGAATCCAAACTAAACAACTTACTTCATAAGGCTAATTCAATCACAGTTTGTAACAAAACAAAAGGAACAGAACATTTTTACCTTCAAATTCAGTGTAAACAATAATTTATCACATTTAAAAGAAGGCTGCTAATAAGTAGAACTCAGAAATTTCTTGACTTAATTGACAAACTTAGGCATTCTAAAAAGTCATTAAAAATTTTAAAAAGCCTGTGAAATTTATTTCATCTATTTCTATCCATATTCACTTCATTCAGAATATTATTCCTTGTTGACAATCAGCGGAGTTCATTACATACTAAAAATAACACCATATTTATGCACAGATAAATTAATTTTTCCAGTAAGAGCTAATCTTCCTTTAAGAAGACTTCCCACATATTCACAATACATAATATCACAGAATATCCATATTTGGCCTAGATGTCTCTGAATTGTAGCATTACAAGATGGAAGTTCATTGTGTCTAATAATTTGATTGAGTTTTGTCCAAATGTCTTCCAGAGTTTGGCTGTTACAAATAGTGTCTTCTATTGTCCATCTTGCTCTATAAAGTGAGTGTAAATTTAGCGCCTTTAGACTATCTTGCAATTTTTTAGACACAGGATAAACGTTTTTAGTACAATTATTGCTGGGAAGGGAAATACTCCAAGATCTCCTGTTGTGCTGTTTTCCCTTTTCTGATTGTTTATCCACATTTCCAGAATTAGTCTGTTCCTTCAGTGTGTGTGACCAGATTAAATGCTGCTGTTTCAAACAAGGTTGAAACTCCAATAGATCTACTGTGCAATCATAACTGTGTGATTTAGCATTATGTTCTGAAATGGCCAAGTACTGTTTCACATCTTCAGCTGCCTCTCCAGAAATCACAGGTGGTGATCTTTTAGGTCTGAGTGGAAGCTTGGACCCATCATATGGAAACCAAGGTATAAATCTTGATAGTGGATGAACAGGAAAGTCTTGAATTGCCTTTTCTGCAATTTTTGGCAGTTGTGTGGGATCACTCTCATATGGTCGATAATGTAATATTACTTCTGTAGTCATTCTGTAGTAATCCAGTTACTCTTAGTGATGAGAAAATTTCTTAGCTGAACTCCTCAGAGCTAGAATGTTAATTTATTATTACAAGATTGTCTCTCTTGCCAAATCAGAGGGAAACAGGACCTAAAGTGGAAGTATTGCAAACAATAAGATATGGTAGGGATACCCTGCCTACAAATAGGCGGGGAGAAAAGGAAAAACAAAAACCAAAAACCAATCCCAATGTAGTAGTTTACCAAAGTGCTATTGGTAAATGTGAATGTAATCTACAAACCTGAAAACTCTTTCTCTTACCAAAATAAAGACTCTGAATTAGATACCCTATAAAATTACTTCCAGCCTAAAAATGCTAGTAGTCAATGTGTTTAACTTAACAGATCTAAAGGGCTTGGAAGTATGAATATTAATATATTAAGTATTAATAGTCTTAGAACTATAGCAGAAACAAAGAGTAAATGAATGATTATTACAATATTGTTTTCCTATGAAAATAATTAACAAAAAATGTAATATTTGAAAATTGAGGACAATGAAATCACTGTAAATTCTACTCCAACATGGTGAAATCCCATCTCTACTTAAAAAAAAAAAAAAAATTAGCTGGGCAAGGTGGTGCATGCCTGTAGTCCCAGCTACTAGGAAGGCTGAGGCAGAATAGTTTGAACATGAGAGCCAGAGGTTGCAGTGAGCTGAAATTGTACCACTGCACTCCAGTCTGGGCAACAGAGCAAGACTTCATCTCAAAGAAAAAAAAAATTCTAATCTGTTTGGAAGAAAATTAATCATTTTACACTTGAAAATTATATGGATTTGCCGGGTGCAATGGCTCACACCTGTAATCCCAGCACTTTGGGAGCCTGAGGTGGGCGGATCACCTGAGGTCAGGAGTTCAAGACCAGTTTGACCAACATGGTGAAACCCCATTTCCTAAAGATAAAAAAATCTAGCTGGGTGTGGTGGTGCATGCCTGTAATCCCAGATACTCAGGAGGCTGAGGCAAAAGAATCACTTGAACCAGGGTGGTGGAGGTTGCACTGAGCTGAGATCATGCCATTACACTCCAGCCTGGGTGACGGGGCAAGACTCCGTTTCAACAACAACAAATTATATGGATTCCACCAAACAAATATATAGATAGAATATTTGATGATATCATCTTATTCTCTGTAGTAAAAACTAAAACCATAAGTATGGTTTAACTTTGCATTTTAACCAGGCCAAGAACCAGTTTTGTGATGCTGTCTTCTCCACATAATCCAGGCAATTAAGCAATATGGAGACCCTAATACCATGGCTTTTGTATTCCAATTTGGAGGAGAACAAGAAGTCTAGACTCTTATTTTTTTCTCTTAGACCACAGAAGTCCTCAAGTTAATAAATTCCAGCATATGGTACATAGGGTCAAGAATGGAGCCTTCCAATATCTGCAAGTTAGGCTTCCTAACCAGGTCCAAAGTTGTAAAGGCGACAGAACAGGCTTTTTCACATCCTAACAACTGCAGAAAAAAATGAGTTGAATCCCTTCTCCCCCAAAATCATTAGAGAATTACTTGATGAGGGTTCTCCCATTGCTAGGATAACCATGAGTATGGACTCCTGTCATGATGTCACAATAGAATCACTGTCTGACTCTGAAGAGTCAGAAGAAGTAACTAATTCTATGATTCTTTTTACTTACTGTTACTGTCCACTAACAGATGTGACAACTCTCAAATTCATAAATGTGATCTTTAACATCCATAATTTTAAATATGGATCTAAATGTTATCACGTATTCCTTCAAGAATTAATAATGCACTGTTTTTCTTCTGTTCCTTATACTTTCACATTGTAAAATGTGAAATGGCATTGAAAAATTCTCTCATCTGAACTCAATCAGTGTTATACTCAAGACACAATTTTTTTATTTTGAGACAGTCTTGCTGTGTCACCCAAGCTGGAGTGCAGTGATACGATCTCTGCTCATGGCAACTTTCACCTCCCAGGCTCAAGTGATTCTTGTGCCTCAGCCTTCTGAGCAGCTAGGACCACTGGTGTGCACCACATTGCTGGCTAATATTGGTATTTTCAGTAGAGATGGGGTTTCGCCATGTTGGCCAGGCTGGTCTCAAACTCCTGATCTCAAGTGATCAGCCACCTCGCCCAACGAAGAATAATAAGACATTATCTTTTTATTTATTTTTTTGAGACGGAGTTTTTGCTCTGTTGCTCTGGCTGGAGTGCAACTGCATAATCTCAGCTCACTGCTGCCTCTGCCTCCCACGTTCAAGCGATTCTCCTGCCTCAGCGTCCCGTGTAGCTGAGAATACAGGTATGCGCCACCACCCCAGGCTGATTTTGTATTTTTAGTAGAGATGGGGTTTCTCCATGTTGGTAATCCTGGTTTCGAACTCCCCACCTCACGTGATCTGCCCACCTCAGCCTCCCAAGTGCTGGAATTACAGGCGTGAGCCACCGCTCCTGGCACAAGATATTATCTTTTAACATTTTACATATAAAAATATAAAGTGAACTTAAATGACCCCTTAAATTGATACATTTGGTATCCAACACCAGTAAATTGAGAAGTGTGAAAATCCTTGATTAGCTAGAACACTGGGTTAACTAGAAGATGGTATAAAAGAGGTTTAATAAAGTTGAAACTATCAGTGAATTTTAAAACATTTGCCCGTTTAGGTTGCCTTTTTTTTTTGAGATAGAGTCTCACTCTGTCACCCAGACTGGAGTGCAGTGGGGCAATCTCAGCTCACTGCAGCCTCTGTCTCCCACGTTCAACCAATTCTCCTGCCTCAGTTTCCTGAGTAGCTGGGATTACAGGTGTCGGCCACCACCCTTGGCTAAGTTTTGTATTTTTAGTAGAGACACGTTTTCACCATGTTAGCCAGGCTGGTCTCAAACTCCTTACCTCAAGTGATCTGCCCACCTTGGCCTCCAAAAGTGCTGGGATTGCAGGTGTGAGCCACCGCACCTGGCGTAGGCTGCTTAAATATTCCTTCCTAGGTATCCTCTGTTTTGGAAAACAGAGAATAACAGAAAACTAAAAACTCTCAGTGGCAGTCTCTGTTTCACTGGTATTTAACTTTTTAATAGCTTCTAATTTGGACAAATCACCTTGTAGCTAATAGAACTGCTCAAAATTCCCATCAACGTAATTGGTGGAGGAATTATCTCTGACAATGCTGTTTCATTCATTAGGAGGCAACATGGACTCTTGAAAAGAGGCAGGTCTTATGTTGAAATACTGCCTCAATCACTTACTAGCTATGTGATCTTGGAAAAGTTGCTTCAGCTATAAGAATTAATATTTACTCCACATACTTGAAATGAGATTGAGAGATAATGAACATGCTTTTCTTCTTTTCCCTCTTCTCCACGAGTAACAATCCATTTTAGTCTAGATCATTTGCTCAGGTTAAGCTTACAGATCCCATCACTGTATCAGTTAAAATTACAAAGGTCCACAGTAAGAGATAGTTTTGCTAACTAAGGCATCATTACATGATTCTATGTTACAAATACGACTGATGAGCTTCTAGAATGTCTGATGACTACCTCATAATGGGAAGGCTAAGGCATCTCTCAAAATGGATGCCATAAGTGCAACTGAATTGAATCCAAATGTTTATTGAGAATTTATTTTCTCAGCTCATTCAAGCCATATATTAGAGCATACAAGAAACAAAAAGTGCATTTGTTGTAGTAAAAAACAAAATAAAACTGAAAAGATTTCAAATAAAAGGTTTTCAGAAAATAATAGGCATTAAAAAAAAAAAACCTGTCTTGTTTTTTTCCTAAATAATGATCTAATTAAATCATCAAACTTACTCAAAATGGCTGTGTACAAAAAATGAAAGTTGACATTACATCTCGGACATGTTTCCCACATACAGTGCTTTGAAGTAAACTGCAGTTTGTTTTTAATAACTCTAAGTTATATGTTGTATTACTATGCATTGTTAAATTCTTGGCACTATTGCCATGCAATACTAATTTTACAGAGGAAGCTGAAACCTGTTAACTTAGTGCCACATGAAGAGACAAGAGACAGAAGGAAAAAGCTCTTAGGTGCCCGCTGTAGTTCACCCTAGTTCACAGAGATCTCCAAGGTAGGGGCGGGACGTTAGCTTCTGCGGCTAAAATCTGGTGATTGAAGTAGCACAGATCAGAAAGAATGATTTACAAGCTATCTATTTCATTCTATAAAGGGGCTCTTAAACCTAAAAAGCATCCAGGCGAAATCGCTTCCTTCCGCTTGGTGCCAAGGGACAGAGCAGGAGGGCAAGCACTGACAGTGTTTAAGAAGGACGAGGCCTACATGGCAAAGGCTTGGAGAAATAACGAAGGGAAGAAAACAGAAAAAGGGGACTCAGATGCGCAAAAGTTTACCTTTCAGCGCCAGCAGGTGCTCCTGTTTAGGGGGATTCACTTCCATTTTGACCGGCACTTTTGACCCACGGCCTACGGGGGCTGGACAGGTTCAAGTTGGCCCGGAAGAAAACGGAAAACCTCGCGTTGGGGAAGACCAAGAGTCAAACGCACACTCAACTTCTCTCTGGTGGTGGTACCTTAAATTCTCTTACTATGTCCTTTACAGACTGGCTTCTTTTCACCAAATCCATCTCTTTTATCTTAGAAACCTATCCTATACATAAAATACTTTGTTTTCTTTCTGCAGTCACACATCGCGACTTCAGGAACCCACCCCTCGGCAACAATACGCGGCCTCCCAAAAGCTAACGTTACCGGCGTAAAAAAAAAAAAAAAAAAAAAAAAAAAAAAAAGGGGGGGAAGGCGGGGATTTGTGTTTTTGCAAAAAATTTTGTTGCAGGCAGGGACACCTGCAACACCCCCACCCCAAGTTTACAGCTTGACTGGTTTACGATTCGAGAGGAGAAATCATTACAGGAGCGGGAGTTTCACCCCAGAACTTTAATTGTTTTATCTCTCCTTTTTTTTTTTTTTAACCTTTTTCCAGCAGTTGCAGACTACGTAATGAAAAATAACAAAGTGCCCATGCGCAAGGTTGTGCAACGAAGCACCCCACGACTGCCGGCAGGCGGTGTTAACAGTCGGCTAAGCGGCGCCCAGAGTCCTACTGCGCCTGTGCACCGGTGGCGTGCGCAGAGGCCTCTGGGTAGGTGGCTCAACCCCGCCTCTCAGTTGAGGATTCTGAGGGCTGCATCTGTGGCTACGCTCCAACGAGGATGGCTACCCTGGTTGTAAACAAGCTTGGAGCGGGAGTAGACAGTGGCCGGCAGGGCAGCCGGGGGACAGCTGTAGTGAAGGTGAGGTACTTTACGTGCTCTGTTCTCCACCATCGGCCTACCTTCGGTTCATCCTGGAGACCAGGCGGCATCGCCGTGGCCCAGGCTTCGATGGGTGGGATGCGCGATTTCTGGGCCCCTTTTGGTTTTACAAGTCTTGTCCTCTCCTCTGCGACCTTTTTCTCCGACGGCTTGAAATTGCCTGGTCTTCTGCTCATGACATGTCATCATCGCGACATTTGCGAAAAGGAGCTTGCGGGCCAGTGTCAGTGACCTAGACAGGTCTTTCTCCAGTTTCTCTGCTTCTAGTTAAACTCAATAGGCATTAATTAGCTTAGTATTATAAATTGAGCCGTCATCATTGTAACGTACTACGTTAGGTGTTTTAGTTCGTTAATATCAACGTACTGTATGAAGTAGATTTAATTCCTATTTTATAGAGAGGAAACCCAGGTTTGGGTTAATACAGTGTATGACAGAGCCCAGAGTTGACGAGCTCTAAAGTCTGTGCTTTTCGCTATTGTACTACGTCTGTAATCAGACATCCATTATTGGTTGAGCTGCCCTCTCCCCTCTTAGCAGTACAGTCTGTTAACACTTTTCAGAAGTCTGCAACATCATAGCTGGGCATTAACGATCGAATTTATGAATTTCCTTAGGCTTGAAGTTTGAGATTCTACCATGTATACATGCTCCAAAATGAATTTACTGAAAAATCAATGGCACTCCTTTTTCCCTTCCATTGTGTGCATGGAAAGATCTGGAGGGGAGAACTGATCTCATTGGTTTATAGAGTAACCTTCAGGAGCATCTCTAATCTGAGAGATTGATAATTCTCATTCCTAGCTACATAGTAAGATCACTGAGGATTTTTAATACACTACTGATGCAGTCCTTCTCCAGTTCTGATGAGGTTGACATCAGTATGTTTTAGGAATTCCCTGAAGTTTTTTAAATGTGCAACCAGGGTTAAGAACTACTGAACAAGATACTATCTGAAGTTTTTTTAACATCTTGAAAAATAGACGCCTATGATTATTCAGTTAATAGTATTCAGTTGGTTTTATATAAGAGCAAATGAGACATTTCTTCCCACAATTTAGTATCAGTCAATATTGGTGGTTGTTGATTCAGATGACCTTTATGTACTAATGAAGTTATTCTGCAGGTATCTGCTATCCAAAGGAGCCCTCATTATTAGGCATATTGTGTGATTGAGATTTTATTTATTGAATTGTGCTTTTGCTAAGTAGAGAATACTTGCAGAGTACTTTGTGAATTAACTTGAAGTTTTATTTCATAATTGGAATGAGTATCATTGCAGTATCTATTTTTTGTTACCCTGTTTGCCTTACAGTCTCAAAAGTGTACCAAGGCCTGATGTAACTCCAGTTTGTTACAAAACAGAATTTGATACATTAGAGTCTCACCTTGTTCGTTTTCATCTTAACATGTAAAATGTTCCTGAATTGTGCAATAAAATAGTCCTTTTTGACAAAATCTTCATGCTATAATTTGTCATAGGTATAGTGGTATAAATTAAAAACTCATTGTCATTTTTATAGATAAAAGCGAGAAGTATTTATTGGAAGGTAAAAGTTGAAGTATATAATGCTCATACTCTGTAAAATGGCCTTTTGCTTGTGAACAAGTTGATAATGACATGGTTTTTATCATTAGGGAAAACAGTGACATAAAAATCTGATATTGTGGCTGGACACGGTGGCACACACCTTTAAAGCACAAAGTGCCTGGGAAACAATTTGGGAGACCGAAGTGGGCAGATCACCTGAGGTCAGGAGTTCGAGACCAGCCTGGCCAGCATGGTGAAACCTTGTCTCTACTAATAATACAAACAGTAGCTGGGCACTGTGGCACGCGCCTGTTAATCCCAGCTACTCAGGAGGTTGAGGCAGGAGAATCACTTGAATCCGGGAGGCGGAGGTTGTGGTGAGCTGAGATCATGCCACTGCACTCCAGCCTGGGCGACAGAGCAAGACTCCATCTGAAAAATTAAAAAGTACAAAATCGGATATTATGAAATAACTGACATTTAAAAATGTATCACGGAAAGTTTCTTTTGCTTAGTGAGTCTCCTTAGGCCTTTTAAAATTTAGTCTGGGGCTGGGCACAGCGGCTCACACTTTTAATCTCAGCACTTTGGGATGCCGAGGTGGGAAGATTGCTTGAGCCCTGTAGTTTAAGACCAGCCTGGGCAACATAGTGAGACCTTACCTCTACAAATAGTAATTAAAAAAAATTAGCCAGATGTGGTGCCTCATGCCTGTGGTACCAGCTACTTGGGAGTCTGAGGCAGGAAGATTGCCTGAGCTCAGGAGGTCAAAGCTCCATTGAACTATGCTCAGACCACTATACTCCAGCCTGACTGACAGAGTGAAACTCTTTCTCAAAATAATAATAATAAATAACAATCTGATCACAGTTTGATTTACATGTAATAAGTTTGAAGCTTTCTTTTGGCATTTTGTGAAGTGTAAAATTAGGACTTTTTGCTATTAGCCACAATTCCTATTTATAGATACTGAGGAAATAATTTATTGCTGTATTATTTACCAAATCGATGCATAATAGTCTAGTAACTTTAGTTTTGGACCTGTGTTTAGCTTGCTAATCAATGAAATTTTATTAGTGCTTTTTGAAAAATATGGTAACAGCATAAGGAAGTCCCTTTAAATCTTGTATAGTGATGGGATCAGAAATACGATTTAAACGAACTAAATAAAATTTTAATATGGTTCTTTGGACTTTATTGTCATAAACAAATTTAATGTATTATAGTATAATAGCATTTATTAAATGTTGCATTTATTTTATATCAAATTCCATTGTGAATTTTTTTTTCTATATTTAATTGAAATTTTTGTTTTGAGGCAGGTTCTCACTCTGTCACCCAGGTGGGAGTGCAGTGGCACGATCATGGCTCATAGCAACCTTGATCTCCTGGGTTCAAGAGATCCCCCCACCTCAGCTTTTGATCTTTTATAGAGACACATTGTCTCACTGTGTTGCCCAGGCTGGTCTTGAACTCCTGGCCTCGAGCAGTCTTCTTGCCTTGGTGTCCCAAAGTGCTGTGATTACAGGGGTGAGCTACAGTGCCAGGCCTAAATGAATTTGATAATGTGAAACTTTTCCCTTTTAAAAAAACGGAGGATAAATTGAAGTATGTCTCCCTATATATAATGATAGAGTTATATACGAGTAGCTGTTCTCCAGCTGTGTCACTTTCTCATGGGGAACCAATGTTCCAGTGTTACTGGTATCCTATATATCCTTCCAGGAAGACGGTACACTTATACAACAATATAAAAAAAAATTGCTCTTTCCCTGCCTTTATGCAAAAATGAATATATTCTATTTATCATTTTTCTTTTTGTTTTTGTCATAGGAAATCATTTTGTGTATACATGAAAAACTTCATCTTTCTTGCTAGCCTATATAGTTTTATAGTATTATGAATGTACCATAATTTATTTTCCAAGCTGATAATTGATGTATATTAACTTTGTTTCCAATTTTTTGCTAATGCAAATGGTGTTTTAAGGAATAACAGACAGATTTTGTCACACATGTCTAATATGCTTGTAGGATAAATTCCTGCAACTGGAATTACTGAATTATTTAAACTTTTAGTAAGTATTGACAAGTTGCCCTCCATAGAAGCAATATTGCTCAATGAACATTTCACAGTAATCAGTAACATATGAGTGTCTGCTTTCCCACACCTTCACAACGAAGTGTTACCAGCATTTTTTATCTAATCTGAAAAAAAGTATTTTGATGTAGCTTTAGTTTGCATTTTTTTTCTTTATTTTCTTTGAGACTGAGTTTCACTGTCACCCAGGCTGGAGTGCAGTGGCACCATCTTGGCTCACTGCAACCTCTGCCTCCCAGGTTCAAGTGATTAGCCTGCCTCAGCCTTCTGAGTAAACAGATTAGCTGGGCACCTCGCCACCATGCCCAGCTAATTTTTTTTTGTGTGTGTGTATTTTTAGTTGAGATGGGGTTTCACCTTGTTGGCCAGACTGATCTCGAACTTGGCCAGGCTGGTCTCAAACTCCTGATCTCAGATGATCCACCCACCTTGGCCTCCCGAAGTGTTGGGATTACAAGTGTGAGCCAATGTACCCGGCCTTAATTTGCATTTTTCTTATTAGTTAGATTGAACATCTTTCATGTAAATAATTTTCATCTTTTCTGTGAACAACGTTACGTTTCTTATTTTTATTTATTTTTCTTTTCCAAAAGCCTTATTTACATTGAAGGACTAAATTTAAATTTCTTTTGAACCATAATAAGATGAAGGCAATTCTGAGTTATCACTTTATTTATGGTGAAAAATATTTGCATCTCATGCACTAAGTCCAAGTTAATTGCAGAGTTAGGTTTAAAATCATAGTAGATTTTTAGTCTGATTTCTGCCTTAGGTTTAATTGCTTTTAAATTATTTTGCTGGACTTTATGTAAGCAGTAGGTTCTTGGTATTTGAAATACCCTGTTCCTGAGGGTTCTTTGGTCCAACAGGGAAAAACAGGCCTAAAAACTGGTAAAGGTATTAAAGTGTTTTGGATGTTACGGTAGATGCTTATACAGAGTGGGGCCCCAGGGACAAGTGTAGTTCTTTCCTCAGCGTTAGCATGAAGAGACATGAAACAGTTTGTCATGTTCTGAGAACTACAGGCTGTTAGATATAGTTGGAGCACAGGGTCAGAAGAGCATGGCAGTGAAGCAATAGGAGAAGGACCAGATTGTAGCAGGTCTTGAATGTCAGACCCAAGAGTTTGAGATATGATTGATAGTACAGTGTAGGTATTTTTAAAAAATTAACAAAAATGGAAACACTACAAATATACTTAGAAATAAGTGCTGAAAATGCTTTATTGGTATAAATACAGTGTGGACTATTTATAAAACATAAACTTACGGACTTGAGAATCAGAATGTGCTGATAAATAGCCTTTCTTTTGACTGACTGTGTAGCCTTGTGCAAGTCATGTGCCTGTAACTAGAACTAGATAAACTAGTTTCTAATTCAGAGCTATATTTATTGATAGAGAACAGGAATTGAAATTTAAGTTTAAGGTGATTGCTTCTTTGCCTTTATATTGTTTGATGTAATTAGATACTAGAAGATACTTGAAAGTTACTTGTAGTCTTAACAAGTTCTTTATCATTTACAAGGGTAATTGTTATCTCAGTACATATTTTAGATTATTTTGTTGAAATTAAAGTTTATTTTGTTGAGATTAATGATTGGTTAGGTAGTTGCAGAGAAATTGCTTAAGAACCCACTTTCAGTAGAATTATATATTGTTTGTACAGATTCAGATGTAATGAGTCAATCATAACTTTCAAAAGATAATGAAAATGTTAATTTACAGCATCTTTGCCTCAAACAGTATTTCAAAGATATTTCATTATAATTTTGGCAGGGTCTGTCAGATGGAATGACTTAAAAATGATTTAAGATTTTACAACCTACATAGTTTTTTTTTCATGGAAGAATAAAGTAACAATGTTAATTCAATATATTAGGTCAGTTTTACATACTTAAAATATGTATGCTTTTAAAATTGTTTGAAGAGCACATCCTTCCTTTTCAAATATTAGGTGCTAGAGTGTGGAGTTTGTGAAGACGTCTTTTCTTTGCAAGGAGACAAAGTTCCTCGACTTTTGCTTTGTGGCCATACAGTCTGTCATGACTGTCTCACTCGCCTGCCTCTTCATGGAAGAGCAATCCGTTGCCCATTTGATCGACAAGCAACAGACCTAGGTAGGAAAATTATTTGTATGGATTTAAGATAGAAAATTGTTCATGTAATGCAAATGTCGTAGAAAACAATTTCCTTCCACTTGGTTTTTAAAATGATAAAATTCCCAGGAAGTTTCAGAAAGCCTGAGTCTCTGTTAAGATTAATAATCTTCAAGCTATAAACTATCTCACTCTTAGTAATTTTATTTTCTGAGATGTTTATATTCAATACTTACATGTAAAGAGCTTTACGACACCTAAGAAAAACCTGCTACCCTGATTCAACGAAATAAGAATATGCATCAGAGTGAATCATTTGCCTGAAACCATTAACCCAATAAAACAATATTTTCTTTACAAATAAATAAGCCAATAATGAAAATACAGATAAGTCATTAGAGTCTCAGAATGTTTTTATTTACTAATATCAAAGACAGAAGTGTTTGTAGCTTGTGATCGTTACTCTTTATTTTCTGTTAAAATGAGTTTGAAGGGTTTGCGGATTTTTTATGTGTGTAGTTTTCTGAATACTTTTAAAACTTTCTATGTATATTTCAAAGTAAGTTATTTTCAGGTACCAGATTTGGAAATAATAATATTTACTAACATTTGAACAATTATTTTACAAATATAAGTTCTGTGAGTTTATTCTTTTTGATAAGGGAGTTTTCTCCAAAAGAGTTTAAGGTTGCCATTTTTTTTTCAGGTCAGTTGCACTTTTAAGACTGTTTTAATGTATTCATACTATTTTTCAAGGAGAACACATTCAAAATAATTTATCCACCAAAAAAAGGAAGCAAGAGTACCTATAATTTTAGTCTGGAAGACTTTAAAATGCTAAGAAACATGGTTTAAAAATATTTTCCGGGGAAAGAAAAGGATTTTCAAGGTTTCGATGATCTTGGATGTTTATAAATAGTATGTCTATTTGCCTGACAACTAATATAGAACAATGATAGCATTATTATAGGTAATAGTAACTTACCAGTAGCCAAGAAATGATAGGGATTGGGAAAGTCTCTGTACTTTTATTTGGTCTTTTATTTTGTAAGATATGCATATATCATACTATTTCTTTACATAAAACTATACTTAGGCCAGGCGTGATGGCTCACACCTGTAATCCAGCACTTTGTGAGGCTGAGGAGGGTGGATCACCTGAGGTCAGGAGTTTGAAGCCAGCCTGGCCAACATGACAACACCCCATGTCTTCTAAAAATATAAAAATTAGCTGGGCCTGATGGTGGGTGCCTGTAATCCCAGCTACCCGGGAGACTGAGGCAGGAGAATTGCTCGAACCTGGGAGGTGAAGTTTGCAGTGAGCTGAGATCCTGCCACTGTACTCCAGCCTGGGCGACAAGAGCAAAACTCCATCTCAAAAAAAACCCAAAAAACAAACAAACAAAAAACCTAAAAGAAATAGTAACGTTTTGCAAATGGAGGTTAGAGCCTTTCTTCTACCCTTTTTTTTTTTTTTTTTTTTTTTTTTAAAGCCGAGTATCACTCTGTCACCCGGGCTGGAGTGCCATGGTGCAGTCTTGGCTCACTCCACCTCTAGGGTTCAAGCGATTCTACTGCCTCAGCCTCCAGAGTAGCTGGAATTATAGGCATCTGCCATCACACCCAGCTAATTTTTATATTTTTAGTAGAGATGGGGTTTCACCATGTTGACCTGGCTGGTCTGGAACTCCTCACCTCAAGTGATCCACCCACCTCAGCCTCCTGAAGTGCTGGGATTACAGGTGTGAGCCACCACACCCAGCTCTTCTGTCTTTTTGAAGAGCACTTTACCTTCTCTACATTAATAACACAATGTGAGGAGTTACTATCCTTAATGTTTAACTACACTATAAATTTATGATAGGGAACTAGACTGAATACATCTATCCTCCTCTTTGACTTCTCTGAATTCTGAATCAGAATTCCTCTCTAGCCCAAGAAGAATATGAGTAATTTCTTAATACTCTTCAGCAATATTTCTGATTTTCTTCTGTTCATATGATGAAATTATGCTTCCTTGCCCTCTTACACATCACTGAGTGATGTTCATTGATCAGTGAAATTTGAGCAGAAGTGAGGTGTTAGCTTCCAGGTAGAAGTTGATAATAGAAGGTTTATGATTTTTGAAGTAAATTCTTTTTCCTGCTACAGTGAGGTGGTCCAGATGGTTGGAAGCTTGGTAACCTGTATCCCTGTCTGTGGTCAGTGGGGAACAGAGTCTGTCTTGTCTTCCCTAACCCCTGAGATGTTGCATGAGCAAAAAGGAAATCTTTGTTGTGTTAAGCCATTGAAATTGTAGAGTTGTTTTGACACTTAACAGAATTAAGTGATATATTAGGCACTACCTAGTAATGCTAGAAGTTTATTTGTATATATTCATTATGTAATGACTGGTTATTTAGAAAATTGTCAAGACTATATTTTTAAATGATCACTTGGTGTATGTCTTAACCTTTATGTAAGTAGAACTCAGCTTGTTTTAGAATATGTGTTAAAAATTAAGGAGAAAGCCTTTTGGGGGCAAGGCCGAGGGAGCAATTCTGGGTGGGGGGGACGCTGTATAATGGTACTTGGGAAAGGAGTCACAGAAGTCAAAGAGGAGGATAGATGTGTTCAGTCTGGTTTTTCTTTGCGAGAAGCATAACGTGGAATGGCTTTTTTTTTTTAAGGGCCAAGAGGAAGGAGAGCCCTGCAGGCAATGACTCATTTTATATGTTTATTCATTTAATGAATATGTTTTAGGTGGCAGCTATGTCAGATGGTATTTGTAGCATGGGAGTTTACCATAACAAATATTCCTTCTGCTGAAGGATCTGACTTTTATTCATAGACTCAGAAAGAGTGTGTATGTTGTCCAATGTAAAATGTATTTCTTAATGTAGGTTGCTGCAAAAAGTACTTGCAAATGCTTGTTTTAGTGTATATATAGTAAAAGTCAGTGACAAAATAGGACTTGTAAAATTAAATGATAGAAAAATCGGATGGGCACAGTGGCTCACACCTGTAATCCCAGCACTTTGGAGGGTGAGGCAGATGGATCACTTCAGGCCAGGCGTTTGAGACCAGCCCAGCCAGCATGGTAAACCCGGTCTCTACCAAAACATACAAAAAAAAATTAGCCAGGTGTGGTAGCACACACCTGTAGTCCCAACCACTTGGGAGGCTGAGCCATGAGAATCACATGAACCCGGGAGTTGGAGATTGCAGTGAGCTGAGATCGTGCCGCTGCACGCCAGCCTGGGCAACATGGCAAGACTCTGTCTCAAAAAAAAAAAAAAAAGTAAAGGCGATCTAAATAATTTACTTAAACTGGCCAAATATATATAACATGAAATTTGTCATTTTAACCATTTTTAAGTTTAGTGGCATTAAGTACATTCACATTGTTGTGCAGCCTTTACCATCGTAATTTTTTTATGTGTATTTAGATTTTTTTTTTTTTGAGACAGAGTCTTGCTCCCAGGTTGCAGTGCAGTGGTATGATCTTGGCTTATTGCAGCCTCTACCTCCCAGGTTTAAGCAATTCTCATGCTTCAGCCTCCTGATTGGCTGGGGTTACAGGCATCTGCCATCATACCTGGCTAATTTTTATAAAAAAGTGTAGACGGGGTTTCACCATGTTGACCTGGCTGGTCTTGAACTCCTGGCCTTAAGTGATCTGCCTGCCTCAGCCTCCCAAAGTGCTGGGATTACAGGCATGAACCGCTGCAACTGGACGAAAAATAATGAATTTTAAAGTGTGTTTCTACTTGAAAGGCTTAGGGATTCTTCTGTTTTTTAAAAGAGAGGATTTTAACAAAGCAATTATTTTAGTATTAAAAAATGGGGAAAATTTGATTTTTAAAAATTTAGACATAAATTACTGAACTATATGATTAGAAATTACTTTTGAGGTATGGGGTAAGATGGTTAATAGTCCATTTTGTTAGATTTAGTTTTTTGTTTTGTTTTGTTTTTATTCCAGGAGATTCAGGTGTCTGGGGATTGAAAAAAAATTTTGCCTTATTGGAGCTTTTGGAACGACTGCAGAATGGGCCTGTTGGTCAGTATGGAGCTGCAGAAGAATCCATTGGGATATCTGGAGAGGTATTGATTATACTTGGTGAAATATTTGTTATGAGCATGAATTTTTCTTTTATGTATGCCATTATTAGCACATATTACCTCATTTATTACTGCGCCCGGCCTTTTTTTTTTTTCTTAAATCAATGTTTTCTGCCATTATTTGCAATAGACTCACCTGTGGAGTATTAAAATGATCCACCTACCTCAGCCTCAGCTGACCCACCTGCCTGCCTCAGCCTTCTAAAGTGCTGGAATTATACAAATGAGCCACTGAGACTGGTCTTTTTTCTTTTCTTTTTTTTTTTTTTTTGTAAAATATATATAACATAAAATTTTTCATTTTAACCATTTTTTTCTTTTTTGAGATGGTGTCTGGCTCTGTCACCAGGCTGGAATGCAGTGGGGCGATCTCTGCTCACTGCAGTCTCTGCCTCCCCAGTTCAAGCCATTCTCCTGCCTCAGCCTCCTGAGTAGCTGGGACTACAGGCATGTGCCACCACGCCCAGCTAATTTTTGTGTTTTTAATAGAGACAGGGTTTCACTGTGTTGGCTAGGATGTTCTTGATCTCTTGACCTCGTGATCTGCCTGCCTCAGCCTCCCAAAGTGCTGGGATTACAGGTGTGAGCCACTGCACCTGGCCTATTTTTTTTTTATTTGCTTAAATCAGTGGTTTTCTGTCATGATTGTGCAATAGACTCACCTGTGGAGTATCACAATACATGGTGTATAATTAGAAAAATATGTACAAGTCTAGGCTTCATCCACAACCTGTTGAAATTAGAATTTCTCAGACTAGAATCCAGACAACTATGTTTTTAAAAGTTTATAGCTAATTCTGATACATAATCTCACATTATCTAAATAGCATTTGTACTTCTGTCCCTTCTATACATCATCATGACAACTGATATTTAAAGCTGTAGGGATATTTTTAATATCAGATTTTTTAGTCTTGAAAGAAGACTTTTGACTTCTCTGTGGTTTAGTATCTTGTGTAAAGTGATGGGATTTGGTGGAAGAGATCTTTGCACTGAATATAAATATGAGAATAGTTTTATTTTTGGCTTCAAATTCATAACATATATTGGTCAGTTATTCTTGGAAATAGCTGCTTACCTGTAGAGATGAATGCTTCTCGGATGAGTATTGATTGACCTTTGTGCTTCGTGGCCAGTATATTTTCATATATTAATGTTGGTCAGTTAAGCCAAAAAGATTATGGGATTCTATATTTTAAAATGTGTCATGTTATACTGATTGGGTTCAATTTTAAGGCATTAATTTTTTGTTTATCAGAGCATCATTCGTTGTGATGAAGATGAAGCTCACCTTGCATCTGTATATTGCACTGTGTGTGCAACTCATTTGTGCTCTGAGTGTTCTCAAGTTACTCATTCTACAAAGACATTAGCAAAGCACAGGCGAGTTCCTCTAGCTGATAAACCTCATGAGAAAACCATGTGCTCTCAGCACCAAGTGCATGCTATTGAGTTTGTTTGCTTGGAAGAAGGTTGTCAAACTAGCCCACTCATGTGCTGTGTCTGCAAAGAATATGGAAAACACCAAGGTCACAAGGTATGAATTTAATTATTAATAAATTGGATCACTGTAGCTACTTTACCTGCTCAATATTTGTTTTCTGATCTGGTTCTTTATGCTAAAAGTAGTGATTCAAGAGGAGTTAATTGATGAATGAATTGGGTTTGGTAGCATGAAAAGAGAGAAAAGTAAAAGTAAGTTAGCAATTTTCTGTGTTGTAAAAGTCACTTGTGGCTGATGCTCTTTGTATTAATAGGGATTTAAGTAGTTTTTATATTACTAGTCAATACTATGAGTTCTTTTCTGTAATTATGTTACATTTTATAGCATTCAGTATTGGAACCAGAAGCTAATCAGATCCGAGCATCAATTTTGGATATGGCTCACTGCATACGGACCTTCACAGAGGAAATCTCAGATTATTCCAGAAAATTAGTTGGAATTGTGCAGCACATTGAAGGAGGAGAACAAATCGTGGAAGATGGAATTGGAATGGCTCACACTGAACATGTATGGATTTTTTTTCTTCACTTTCTGATTCTTTTTCATATTTTCACTTTCTCCTATGTATTTAATGAGCAATTACAATTTGCCAGTATTGCACCAGTCATTAGAAAGTTTTTTGAAAGTCTCTGTCTTCAAGGAACTCTTACTTCATCATGGAAGAGAGATAGTTTTAAATGTGGAAAGTGTTTTAAGGAGGAGATGTACAGGGTGCTTTGGCATCACAAAACATGGGCAATGATTTATGGAGGTCAGAGAAACCTTCACAGAAGAAATTATGTTTAAACTGAGATTTGAAGAAATTGAGTTAGGGAGAAGAGCAGGATGGGGAATGAGTTGTCCAAGGAAGGGAAGCATATGTTAAAATGTTCAGAAGTGAGGATTGGACATATTATAGAGACTTGAAGCTCACTGTGATTAGAGCTTTGAGTATTGAGTGGGACATTACAAGAAAAGAGGATGTGGAGAGTTCACAGACAAATCATGCAGGATCTTGTCAGCTGTGTTAAAGAGTTCAGAATTTAGTTTAAGGACAGTGATGAGCCATTGAAGAATTGACATAGGAATGATGTAATCAGATTTTCCTTAAGAAAGGTTGCTCTTAAATATAGAAAATGAATTGGAGAAGTAACAAAATTGGAAGCAGGTAGACCTATTAGGATGTTAAAATTTTCTAGTTAAAATTCTAGAGATTTTTATGGCCTATAAAAATGGCCATAAAAGATTTTTATGGCCTATATACTGTAGTTATGCAGTGTATACAAGTAGATGGATTTTAGATTTTTAAAGAAGTAGAATAGGTAGATCTTAGTGAGTAATTGTTAATATTGATTGGATAGGTAACTTGGAAGGTCAGGCTATTAGACCAGTTAGAAGGCTGTTATCCTAATCAGTTGAGAGGTGATAATGGCTTGGATCAGGTTGGTAGAAGTAGAGGTGATGAGGCATGATCAGATTCTGGATATGTTTTGGTAAGCAGAATTTGCTGAGGGACTAGTGGGCTGTGAAAGAGAGGTGTTAAGGATGACTCCAGTTTTTTTTGCTTCAACATCCTGAAGGATTGAGTTGTCATTTACTAAGAGGCAATTAGCTTTGGGAATGAGGGAGACTGGAGATTAGGCATTCCATTTTGTTTGAGATGTCATTTATAAACAGTTGAATTTCCAAAGTGTGTTCCTTAGGGGAAAGATCTAGTATGGAGATTTATATTTTGGAATTTAATATAGATGGTATTTAAACAACGTCTCGCCCAGTCACCCAGGCTGAAGGGCAGTGATGTGATCACGACTCATAGTAGCCTTGACTTCTGGGGCTCAATCCTCCTACTTCAGCCTCCCAAGTAGCTGGGACTACAGGCACGTGCCACCATGCCTGGCTAATTTTTTATATTTTTTGTAGAGACAGAGTTTTGCCATGTTGCCCAGGCTGAAATTTTAAATATTTCACATGTAAAATATTTATTAACATTACAGTTGCTTAAAGTTTATTTTCATTTCTTAGGTACCAGGGACTGCAGAGAATGCCCGGTCATGTATTCGAGCTTATTTTTATGATCTGCATGAAACTCTGTGTCGTCAAGAAGAAATGGCTCTAAGTGTTGTTGATGCTCATGTTCGTGAAAAACTGATTTGGCTCAAGCAGCAACAAGAAGATATGACTATTTTGTTGTCTGAAGTTTCAGCAGCCTGCCTCCATTGTGAAAAGACTTTGCAGCAGGTAGGTAGTTTAAATATGATTAGGGACTTAGTTGTAAGTTTAAGTAGATAAGTACCAGAGGTATACAGTAGTCTATTTTATTAATAAGTATTTTGTGTCTGCTGTATGCAGTAACTTTGTGCTTAGGACATGGTCTGCAACCTCGAATTATTTCACTAGTGTGGAATTATCAGTGTCCTCTTGTTCATGTGAACCCTTTTACTCCTCTTTGCCAAGCCTATACGTACTGTTTCTTTTCTGCTTGGAGTGTATATGTCTCTCTTTTCTAATAGTGGAAATCCCCTGTCTTCTTCAAGGTTCAGCTTAAATGTTTGCTTTTCTTTGAAGCGTTCTCTTTGTTGGTCTTTTTTTGAGTGCCTCTCTGGCATGTACTACCTATCTCTGCTGTAATTCAGTGATTTGTCACTGTTACAACAAACATGTTTTGTGATGGTTGAGAGATCATAAGTAATTTGTTGCCCAGTTTGCAGATGACTCACTTTTTAAATAAATGAGATTCAAGGTTATTCTGACACAAATGTCAGCCTTACCCATTTGTGTTTTGGATCTGCTTTCATAAGTGTGAGGTATAAGGGTAACTATTGCCCTAGGAATAATAGTTTTTAGAAAAGCTGCAGTCTGTGTTATCTTCGCTGATATACTGCTCACAACTGTTTTGATTTCAAATCATTGAAGGCTAAGCGTTTTACCATTGCAGAACTTTTTCTCTTAAATGTCCGACTACACTTACATGAGTGTGGCCAGTCTATAGCCTTACCAGTCTTGGGTTATAATTTAGTCCTTACTACACTGAATTGTAACAGTTGATATGTATGCTATTTATTAAGTTGATATTCAGCTCCAAACCTACTCTTCTTTCCTCTGCTTTGTGATACTAGGGGTAGAACTCTACAGGTCTCATAATTGTGTTGCTAGCTGGGCCCATGTAAGGTACTACCAAGAGGGAGCAATTTGAGATGAGATTTGGGTGGGGACACAGAGCCAAACCATATTAACTGATAATTGTTAATGATACAGTATTATCTACTATGTTAATGCAAAAAAAAAAAAAAATCAAGGTCTTGGATGCATTTTTCATATGGATCTATTAGTTTTGTTCTATTTTATGACCACAGAATACTAACCAATGTTCTTAAAAGTTCCGACTACAGAGAAAATTGGACAGAGGAATGGATGAAACATCACAAATTGATCTTCACTTTTGAGAACATAATTTAATCTTCCATTCACTCCAAGTAATTCATGTATCATCTAAGTTCTTGACATGATACTGGATGCTGAAAATTTATTCATTTAGCAAATGTGTGTTGAGCACCTAACATATGCTATGTATTTAAAATATATCAGTGGACAAAATAAACAAAAAGCCATGTTCTTGTTGAATTAGCATTCTAGCAAGAAGACAGGCAATAAATCATAACCATACCTAAGTAAGTAAATTATACATATATTAGAAAATGATAAGAGCTAATCAAAAAGAACTCTACAACTACATGTTTGTATTTGTACAGCAGATTGCATTACTAAGTAGAGTAGTCAGGGTAAGCATTATTGAAAGAAGGTGAGATTTGAGCAAAGATTCAGTAAAAAGTTGAAGGAATTTGCTCAAGGCCTGACTGGGAGAACATTCTAGTTGAGGGGGTGTTTATAGCAAAAACTCTAAGAGGGCAGCATGCCTGGTATACTTAAGGAACAGGAAAATAGGCCTCTTGACTGGAGTAGAGTAAGTGAAGGAGGGAGTAATAGGAGCTGAAATCAGAGGTTAATAGAGAATTACATGTAAGGAAGGCCATGTGAACTATCATAAGGACTTCAACTGTTTTTTGGCAGCTGGGGCAGGGTCTTGCTCCCAGACTGGAGTGCAGTGATATAATCTCATCTCACTGTACCCTCTGCCTCCTGGGCTCAAGTGATCCTCCCACTTCAGCCTTCTGAGTAGCCAGGACTACAGGGGCAAGCTACTACATCCAGCTAATTTTTTTTGTATTTTTCGTAGAGATAGAGTTTTACCATGTTGCCCAGACTGGTCTAAAACTCCTGGGCTTAAGCAGTTCATCTGCTTCAGCGTCCCAAAGTGCTGGGACTACATATGTGAGCCACAATGCCTGGCTGGACTTAAGCTTTTACTGATTGGGATAGGAGGACCATTGTGGAGTTTTGAGTAGAAGAGTGACTTAATCTTACATGTTAAAAGGATCGTTTTGGCCTGTGTGTCTAAAATAGATTGAAAGAAGGCAAAAATGGAAAGAAGGAATTCAAGTTAGACAGCTGTTGTAGAATTCCAGATGAGAGGTAATAGTGGATTGGATAATGGGGATTAAAAGTGCCCAGATTCTGGATATTCAATAGGGTTTGTTAACAGATTGTATGTAGGACATGTGCGAAAGATAAAGCAATAATGACTTCAGTGTTTTTGTTCTGAGCAACTGGAAAGTGAAATTGCTATCAACTAATACGAGTATCTAACAGTGAGCAAAAACAGATAATACTATTGTTCTTATGGAGCTTGCAGATTATTGGGATATCTCTTTCATATAAAGACGATATTGGTATTTGTATAGCTAGTCTGGAATAATATTCAAGAAACTGGAAAATTCTTGATTTTGAGGAGCGGTCCTGGGGATCTAGAGGGAGTTTGACCTGTATTCTTTTATTTTTTAAATGAATACATGTATATCTTAAATTATTTTTTAAACTTTTTATAGAACTAGAACATAGATACAGAAATGTGTGTGTTTAAGTATTGAGTTGGCTGAATTTTCAGACTGATCATTAATGTGTAACTAGCACCCAGATCAAGTAACAGAACATTGTCAGTACCCCAGTAGCCCCCTTATACTCATTTCTGACCACTACCTGCCGTTCCCACCATGATAAACCACTATTCTGACTTCTAAGGTATATCTTAATTATGGTTGTTTTGGTAATTAAATGAAATTTTACAGTACAAATTCTCCATGCCATGTCTTCTATTATTCTACATTATGTTTGTGAAATTTCTATCATCACTTGTAGCTGTGGTTTATTCTCACTGGGATGTAGTGTTCCATTTATCAATATGCAACAATTTATTCATTCCTTTGTTGGTAGGTCCTTAAATTATTAATGCCCAGTTATTCTTGTCAAGTTTACTTTCAGGTTAACTTTGACTACTGTGTTAAAACTGCTTTTATTGTGAGTTGGTAATATAAGTCTTTTTTCCTTATTTCTTATAAAAAGTTTATAAGAAATATTGTTCTGCCTCTTCTAGGATGATTGTAGAGTTGTCCTGGCAAAACAGGAAATTACAAGGTTACTGGAAACATTGCAGAAACAGCAGCAGCAGTTTACAGAGGTTGCAGATCACATTCAGTTGGATGCCAGCATCCCTGTCACTTTTACAAAGGTAATGTACTATGCTTTATTTTTAGGTATTTTTTTCTGACAAATCATGATTGATTGATATTTCATGATAATCACCTTAAAGAGATAACCAGGAAATTAATGAATTAGAGGATTTTAAAGAAAACTTTTATCAGTAGAAAATAGAAATGGTGTGCTTGCCTCAGCAGCACATACACTAAAATTGGAATAAGAAGATTAGCATTGCCCCTGTGCAAGGATGGCACACAAATTTGTGAAGTGTTCTTTATTTTTTTTTTTATTTTATGAGATGGAGTCTTGCCCTGTTGCCAGACTGGAGTGCAGTGGTGCAATCTCAGCTCACTGCAACCTCCACCTCCTGGGTTCAAGTGATCCTTCTGTCTCAGCCTCCTGAGTAGCTGGGACTACAGGTGCTCTCACCACCATGCCCAACTAAGTTTATTTGTATTTTTAGTAGAGACGGGGTTTCACCATGTTGGCCAGGATGGTCTTGATCTCTTGACCTCATGATCTGCCCTCCTTGGCCTCCCAAAGTGCTGGGATTACGGGCGTGAGCCACCATACCTGGCTGAAGTGTTTCACATTTTTAAGTTAAAAAAAGTGAAAAAAAAATAGAAATGGTATATATAATGAATCTTCCTGTATCCATTACCCAGTTGAGCAATTATAAACTTATTTCATCTACCCTTTTATTTACTCCTTTTTCTGCCTGCAATCTCCCAGGGTATTTTGAAGCAAATCCTAATATATTATTTCATCCCAACATCTTATCATTTCATTTATGAAATGTTTTAGGGTGAATCTCCAAAAGATAAGGACTCTTTTTAAAAACATGATTGGGAATGGGCATGGTGGCTCGTGCCTGTAATCCCAGCATTTTGGGAGGCCAAGGCCGGTGGATCACTTGAGGTCAGGAGTTTGAGACCAGCCTGACTAACATGGTGAAATCCCATCGATACTAAAAATACAAAATTAGCCAGGTGTGGTGGTACATGCCTGTGATCCCAGCTACTCGGGAGGCTGAGACAGGAGAATCGCTTGAAACTGCCAGGTAGAGGTTGTAGTGAGCTGAGATCGTATCATTGTATCCAGCCTGGGCAACAAGAGCAAAACTCTGCCTCAAAAAAAAAAACAAAACCAAAAGCCAAAAAAATATAATTGGGCACGGTGGCATACCTTATAGTCCCAGTTACTCAGGAGGCTGAGGTGGGAGGATGGCGTGAGCCCAAGACTTTAAGACCAGCCTAGACAATATGGTGAAATTTCCATGATGTTAAAAAAAAAAAAAGCCAAAATCATTATTACACAAAAAATGTTTAATATTGAATCTCTAATATTGTCACTAATATTATCAACTATTGTTAGTATTCAAATTTTCCAGATTATTTCCTTTTTTTTTTTTTAATTGGATTTTAGGTTTTGGGCTACATGTGAAAAACATGCAAGATTGTTGCATAGGTACACACATGGCAGTGTGATGTGCTGCCTTCCTCCCCATCACCTATATCTGGCATTTCTCCCCATGCTATCTCTCCCCAACTCCCCACCCTGCACTGCCCCTCCTCTATTTCCCCTCCGACAGACCCCAGTGTGTGATGCTCCCCTCCCTGTGTCCATGTGTTCTCATTGTTCAATACCTGCCTATGAGTGAGAACATGCGGTGTTTGATTTTCTGTTCTTGTGTCAGTTTTCTGAGAATGTTGGTTTCCAGGTTCATCCATGTCCCTACAAAGGACATGAACTCATCGTTTTTGATGGCTGCATAGTATTCCATGGTGTATATGTGCCACATTTTCCCTGTCCAGTCTATCATCGATGGGCATTTGGGTTGTTTCCAGGTCTTTGCTGTTGTAAACAGTGCTGCAATGAACATTTGTGTGCATGTGTCCTTATAGTGAAACGATTTATAATCCTTTGGATATATACCCAGTAATGGGATAGCTGGGTCAAATGGAATTTCTGTGTCTAGGTCCTTGAGGAAATGCCGCATTGTCTTCCACAATGGTTGAACTAATTTACACTTCCACAAACAGTATGAAAGTGTTCCTATTTCTCCACATCCTCTGCAGCATCTGTTGTCTCCAGATTTTTTTAATGATCGCCATTCTAACTGGCACGAGGTGCTATCTCTATGTAGTTTTGATTTGCATTTCTCTAATGACCAGTGATGATGAGCATTTTTTCATATGTTTATTGGTCTCATGTATGTCTTCTTTTGCAACGTGTCTGTTCATGTCCTTTGCCCACTTTTGAATGGACTTGTTTGCTTTTTTCTTGTAAATCTGTTTTAGTTCTTTGTAGATTCTGGATATCAGCCCTTTGTCAGATGGGTAGATCGCAAAAATTGTTTCCCATTCTTTTGGTTGCCGATTCACTCTAATGACTGTTTCTTTTGCTGTGCAGAAGCTGTGGAGTTTGATTAGGTCCCATTTGTCTATTTTGACTTTTGTTGCCAATGCTTTTGGTGTTTTGGTCATGAAGTCCTTGCCTATGTCTATGTCCTAAATGGTTTTGCCTAGGTTTTCTTCTAGGGTTTTTATGGTGTTAGGTCTTATGTTTAAGTCTTTAATCCATCTGGAGTTAATTTCAGTGTAAGGTGTCAGGAAGGGGTCCAGTTTCTGCTTTCTGCACATGGCTAGCCAGTTTTCCCAACACCATTTATTAAACAAGGACTCCTTTCCCCATTGCTTGCTTTTGTCTGGTTTGTCAAAAATCGGATGGTTGTAGATGTGTGGTGTTGCCTCTGAGGCCTCTGTTCTGTTCCATTGGTCTATATCTCTGTTTTGGTACCATGCTGTTTTGATTACTGTAGCCTTGTAGTATAGTTTGAAGTCCGGTAATGTGATGCCTCTTGCTTTGTTTTTTTTTTTTTTGCTTAGAATTGACTTGACTATGCGGGCTCTCTCTTGGTTCCATATGAAGTTTAGGGTGGTTTTTTCCAGTTCTGTGAAGAAGGTCATTGGTAGCTTGATGGGGATAGCATTGAATCTGTAAATTACTTTGGGCAGTATGGCCATTTTCATGATATTGATTCTTCCTAATCATGAACATAGAATGTTTCTCCATCTGTTTGTGTCCTCTCTTATTTTGTTGAGCAGTGGTTTGTAGTTCTCCTTGAAGAGATCCTTTACATCCTTTGTTAGTTGTATTCCTAGGTATTTTATTCTCTTTGTAGCAATTGTGAATGGCAGTTCGTTCTTGATGTGGCTCTCTTTAAGTCTGTTATTGGTGTATAGGAATGATTGTGATTTTTGCACATCGATTTTGTATCCTGAGACTTTGCTGAAGTTGCTTATCAGTTTCAGGAGATTTTGGGATGAGACGATGTGGCCTTCTAGATATACAGTTATGTCATCTGCAAATAGAGACAATTTGACTTCCTCCTTTCCTATTTGAATACCCTTTATTTCTTTTTCTTGCCTGATTGCTCTGGCTAGAACTTCCAATACTATATTGTATAGGAGTGGTGAGAGAGGGCATCCTTGTCTAGTGCCAGATTTCAAAGAGCTCCCGAAAGAGGCACTAAATATAGAAAGGAACAACCAGTACCAGCTACTCCAAAAACATACGAAATGGTAAAGAGCATCAACACAATGAAGAAACTGCATCAACTAATGGGCAAAACAGTCAGCTAGCATCAAAATGGCAGGATCAAATTCACATATAGCAATATTAACCTTAAATGTAAATGGGCTAAATGCCCCAATCAAAAGACACAGACTGGCAAATTGGTTAAAAAGCCAAAACCCATCGGTGTGCTGTATCCTGGAAACCGATCTCACATGCAAGGATACGCAAAGGCATAAAATAAACCGATGGAGGACGATTTACTAAGCAAATGGAGAGCAAAATAAAGCAGGAGTTGCAATTCTTGTCTCTGACAAAATAGACTTTAAACCAATAAAGATCAAAAGAGACAAAGAAGGACATTACACAATGGTAAAAGAATCAATGCAACAAGAAAAGCTAACGATCCTAAATATATACGCTCCCAATACAGGAGCTCCCAGATACATAAAGCAAGTTCTTAATAACTTAAAAAGAGATTTAGACTCCCACCCAATAATAGTGGGAGACTTTCACACCCCATTGTCAATATTAGACAGATCAAAGAGACAGAAAATTAACAAGGATATCCAGGACTTGAACTCAGACCTGAACCAAGCAAACCTAATAGACATTTACAGAACTCTGCACCCCAAATCCACAGAATATACATTCTTCTCAGCACCACATCACACCTACTCTAAAATTGACCACATCATTGGAAATAAATCACTCCTCAGCAAATGCAAAAGAATGGAAATTTTTCAGATTATTTTCAGAACAATTTTTTTAATGGTTGTTTTTCTAGATAGAATCCAAAGAAGTTCCATAGTTGGGATTTGGTTGATATATGTAAGTGTCTTTAAAGTGAGATCTCCCTGATTAAAAAATGTTCATGTGTACCATTTTGGTTTCTTATTTTTAGGGGCTTTTAAAAAATGTATTTGATTTTGTTTTTACAGTTATGTGAAATGTTTATGTGATCCAGAGTCAAATGTCCAAAGCACAGTTTATTCAGAGAAGTCTAGCTTTCATGCCTGTTCCTTCTACCCTTTTTACTTCATTCCCCATAGAAAATCATTTAGAATTTTTTCTTAGTTTTAGTTATCATTATAAAAAGTATAGAGAAATGTGTTTATGTATTTGTATGCACACTACTTGGATTTCAAAGGTGGAATACCTTACACACTTTTTGTAGCTGCATGGTACTTCATTGTGAAGATATACCATATTTATCATTGTAAAAAAACACATAATAAAAAATTTACTGTCTCAACCATTTAAAAGTGTATAGTTCAGTATTGTTCAGTATATTCACACTGATATCCAGATATCTAGAAATTTTTTATTTTGTAAAACTGAAACTCTGTACCCTTTAAACAATTCCCCTCTGCCCCTTCTGATCAGTCCCTGGTAATCGCTATTGTATTTTCCTTTATGAATTTGACTAGATACGTCATAAAAGTGGAATCATCC